TGGTACAACGACGAGTCAAGATACAAGGAGGCGATCGAGCTGTCGAACCGAGTCAAGGACATGGCGATCAACAAGCTCAGGCACTGGATCGAAGACACTCAGGGAGATGAAAAATGTGTAGCCCTTGCGGGCGAGCCGATGCAGTCAGTGTACTGGAAGACGATGGCGGGTCTGATGTACGAGATCAGCTCGCGGACTCCAGCAGACGATGACGGCAGACGAGAGCAGAGCAAGAGGCTGTGCGGGATGTACGGCTTGTCGATGTCAAGGTCGGACCAGCACGGGGAGCCGCCGACAGTGACGGCGGTGGTACGAGGACAGGGGGAGCTGATCCGGCTGCTGAAGGCGGGCGAATACGACATGGACGAGCGGACGGAGGACGGGAGGACAGGGCTGCATGTAGCGGGGATGCTGGGGAGGGCGGGGAGCTTGAGGGAGCTTATCGAGGCAGGAGCAGAGGTAGGAGCGAAGGACAAGGCAGGGAAGACGATGGTGCACTGGGCGGCGGAGTATGGGCATGTGAAGGTGCTGAAGACGGTAGAGGAAGAATGCGGGAAAGAGACTCTGAGGACTTTGATGATGGAGAAGGACAATGACGGCAAGACATGCGCGCACTATGCGAGTGAGGGAGGGCACTTGGAGGTAGTGCGGTATGCTGTAGAGACATGCGGGGAGGAGGTGCTGAGGGAGAAGGACAACGCCGGCTGGACATGCGCGCACTATGCGAGCGAGGGAGGGCACTTGGAGGTAGTGCGGTATGCTGTAGAGACATGCGGGGAGGAGGCGCTGAGGGAGAAGGACAATGCCGGCTGGACATGCGCGCACTATGCGAGTGAGGGAGGGCACTTGGAGGTAGTGCGGTATGCTGTAGAGACATGCGGGGAGGAGGCGCTGAGGGAGAAGGACCAGTACGGCATGACATGCGCGCACTTGGCGAGTGCAGAAGGGCACATGGAGGTAGTGCGGTATGCTGTAGAGACATGCGGGGAGGAGGTACTGAGGGAGAAGGCCAATGACGGCATGACATGCGCGCACTGGGCGAGTGACGCTGGGCACTTGGAGGTGCTGCGGTATATTGCAGAGACATGCGGGGAGGAGGCGCTGAGGGAGAAGGACAAAGGCGGCATGACTTGCTTCACTTTGGCTGATAACTCAGATGTCGAGGATTATCTTAGAGGTTTAGGTATCGACTAGTCTCAGACTGAGCCAACAAGCTGCAGCCATAGAAATCGCTCTCATACCTATCAGAGCCCTAGTAAAAGCGAGCTCACCTCAGACTGGACCTACTCATTCTTAGCTGACGACTGAAGGGATTGAAATCGCTCTCATACCTCTGAAGATGCACTTGCAGTGGTCAGCATGCGAAGCGCTTGAGAGCATGACGGAGGGAGGGGAGAGGGAGACTTGTATCATGTGAGAGAAGCTTGAGCAAGGTTGGCTCTCACCTTCCCTCCTCTCCTCTGCCGTTCCCTCCTCCCTCCCCTCCTCTCTCCCTCCAGCTCATCAGACGCGAGGAGATGGCCGGGGAAGGAGGTGGACCAGACGCGAGGGGAAGAGAGGGGTGGGTGATGTGGCAGGAATACAGAGATGAGCCGGGGAGGGTAGGGGTCATCAGAAAGAGTCAGAGCAGGGGGTGGTGTAGCGGAGAAGTTATCCAGACGCGAGGGGAAGAGAGGGGTGGGTACGGACAATCAGAGGGGTGGGGAGGGAGGAGTGGAGGCTCATAAGGTGAAAGAGGAGCTGGAGATCCGGGGTGATACGAACATGGTCGGGATGAGAGCTAGTCAACGAAGAGAAGGGGAAGAGAGAAGGAGGGAGGGAGGGAGAGAGAGAAGTTTGAGAGAGAATGGCAGAAGTACAAGTGTGGGAGACTAAAGAGGGAAGGAGACGAGAGTACGAGGGAGAGAGAGGAAGCAAGTAGAGAGAAGGAGGGAGCAAGAAGCAGGTAGGAAGGAAAGGGATCAGTGTAGGAAAGGAAATCATTGCACGACGAGCGTGCTCTGACAAGGGTGGATCATGCGACAGTATGACATTCACTACATGACCCAAAGTAGCTCCTCTATCAACATCCTGGTGAATGCAGTTGTTTACTCTTCTTCCGGATTGTAGTCTTTCACGTTGGATCACTCGTACATTCATCTCTTGATTTCTGATCTGCTCGTCCTTATCTATCAGGAGACAAGCCGAGCAAGAGAGGCTGAGGGAGCGAGGACTGAGTCTGCCAGCCTCTACCAGCCTACTGCTCCTCACGCCTACTACTCCTCACGCTCAGCTGCTCTCTCAACCTCGACCTCTACCTCCTCTTGTTCTTCTTCTGCCGCCGCTGCTGCTGCCAGCGGCTCACAGTAGCGCATGCACAGCCCCGGCATCGAGGGAGTCCAGCAGGAGGAGAGAGAGGGAGAGAGAGGAAGGGGAGGAGGAAGAGGAGGAGGTGCAGGAGAAGGAGCAGGAGCAGGAGCAGGAGCAGGAGCAGGAGCAGGAGCAGGAGCAGGAGCAGGAGCAGGAGCAGGAGGGAGGAAAAGGGAGGAGCAGGAGAAGCAGGAGCAGGAGGAGAGAGGAGGGAGGAGGAGGAGAGAGGTTTCACTTCTTGACATATGTCAGCCAGGTAGAATACTTGTCGAGTGGTTCTACTCTAAGGAACTGCAAGAGAGACTGGATATCGTCCACATCATTCTGCAATGGCGTTGCTGCCAAACACCAGCGGTTGATGGCCGTCAGTCGCAGACAAGCTCGATGACTTGTTGATCTTCTGTTCTTGATCCAACGCGCTTCATCGAGGATCACTCGCTGCCATCTCATGTCGGAGATGTCGATGCTCTCGTTGCCGATGATGTCTTGTCTCGATGATGGTCGTCCTGTACAACACAAGAGTGATGAAAGATGATGTTTCGATGATCGTCGTCCTGTACAACACAAGAGTGATGAAAGATGATGTTTCGATGATGGTCGTCCTGTACAACACAAGAGTGATGAAAGATGATGTTTCGATGATGGTCGTCCTGTACAACACAAGAGTGATGAAAGATGATGTTTCGATGATCGTCGTCCTGTACAACACAAGAGTGATGAAAGATGATGTTTCGATGATGGTCGTCCTGTACAACACAAGAGTGATGAAAGATGATGTTTCGATGATGGTCGTCCTGTACAACACAAGAGTGATGAAAGATGATGTTTCGATGATGGTCGTCCTGTACAACACAAGAGTGATGAAAGATGATAGGACCCACATGCAGACTCACCGTCCTTCTTGACACGTGCTGCATTGCGATGCAAGAGCCATCTTTGATAAAGATTCCTCGAGGTCTCATAGCTTGTAACAACAACATCGTAATCAGACAGACTGCGTGAGGACACGTTGCAACTTCTTTGCGGGTATTTCGAGTGGAGTATCGTCGTGGTCATCTTGCCATCCTCAATGTGCCTCTCGATCTGCGATTCTCAGCTGGTCAAGACAGAGACCGGACAGACAATCAGCGTCTTTGCTCGCTCGCACCCACTTTCAGCCTTGTCAGCTCGGAGAGCGCGATCGGGATCGTTGGACAGGATGAGAGAGACTCGGAGCCTGTATTGTCTTGCCTGTTCGAACCGAATCCAATCGTTTGAAGGAGACAGTAGCTCAACATGCAAGCCTGATACAGTACATCATATCTGCTCTCACAAACTCGATCGATTTGGTTTCATTCGTCCCATCCTGGGCTCAGGGCCCGGTCAGCCGCAGTCACTGTACCGTCACGTTGTCTTACGGCCCGATCTTCAGCCTCCGAGGCTCCGGTCACTACTGAGAGATCATGTCATGGGCTTCGACAAGGAGGACGTGGGGAGGACGTCGGTGAAGGTGGCGGGGTACGGGCGGGCAGGGGAGCTGGTGGACGGGAGTGACGGGAGGGTAGCGGGGCGAGCGCTGCCGGTGCGGTACATGCCCCCAGAGTCCATGCAGAGAGGCCGGTGCTCGGAGAAGAGCGACGTGTGGGCCTACGGGGTCACGTGCTGGGAGATCCTGACCTCGGGCATGACCCCCTACTACCCCATGACGGACCCGACTGTGATCGGGTACGTGTGCGGGGGTGGGAGGCTGCCTCGAGAGCACCTCCTCGGAGGATGCCCGGACGGGTTGTGGGCCGTGCTGGAGAGCTGCTGGGCGACGAGGGAGGAGGACCG